CTTGGAGACCTGTAGAATGTTTTGGGTTGATGGGGGAAACCAGAGCGCCCGGAGGAAACCCATCCAGACATGGGGAGAAACATGCAAACTCCACACAGAAAGGCCTGTTTGTGATGTGGAGATAACAAACTAGTGCAGACATGTCAAATTCAGACCTGGGGGCCAAATTTGGCCCGTGATATAATTATTTTTGGCCCGCGAAATCATATCAAATATGTATTTGAGATGGCCCACTGGCTACAGATAGACTATAGAGATATTATTTATTTAAAATGTTGTTATTTTATTATATTCTGCTTGTTCTGGATTCAATGTTAAAACTATAATTAAAGGTTTATTTTAATAAGAAAAGGTTTAACGTTACATATCTCGAAAGAAGAGAAAACATGCAGATGTTGTTGAAATTTTTTAATAAACATTTAGTTTGGCCCACGACTTAATCCCAGGTTTTAATTTTGGCCCTTTGTTAATTTGAGTTTGACACCCCTGAACTAGTGAAAAATGGGCCCTTTAAACTAAACTAAAGTGAGATAAAACTGATCCATCGTGTTTGTGTTTTGTAGTTTTTATTTCCCTCATACGTAACCGTGGAAAAGATTTGTGTAAATAAATGATGAGATTTTCTGATCTGACTACAATCTTCAGTAATTCTTACATCAATGTATTTGCCCAGCCAGGATTTCGATTAAACTGCTATTTGGAAGCCGATATCTAAGTATCTGAGTAGTGTCTAATAAATATGTAATACTAGTATCAGATCTGTACATCCCTAGTCCTGAAGGAGGCTAATCCCACAAAATGTTTTCTTCTTCAAACACATTTTATGAAGTATTTTAAACAAACATCATGAAGAGTATAGAGAAACACACACAGAGCCAGAGGTTATGGTGGAACATTTATTCTGCTCCCTGCACACATGCACCAGCACTGTGACAGTGCACTCCCCACCGCACATCCCATCTGGATAAATGCATTTCAAACGTGTTGGAAAAGGAAAGTGACATGAGCCAATGTGAAAACACAATATGAAACAAAAAATCATCAAATTCTTCACAACCAAAACAAAAAGGTTAAAACAGCTCTTAAAGGCGATGTACCTGAGTTTCTTTAAACGTTTTTACAGTGGTCCAAAGCTCTTCCTCACTTAACCTTATGCATTCAGAGCGTCCTAATTGTTCATCATGAAGACTTTATAAGAGCTCTGCTGTCACTCAAAAGCTAACAAATAGCATGCTAATGTGCACTTCCTGACAGAGACTATCGGACTTATTTTGAATGAAAAAATATATGCAATGTACATGTAATGGAGCAGTAAGTCAAACCTTTTCCAAGTGCATGTTGGACTCCACCAGGGCTTCCCTTTGTCACCTGTTCTGTTCATTGTATTCATGGACAGAATTTGTAGGTGCAGTCAGAGGCCGGAGAGGGTCTGGTTTGGGGACCACAGTATCATCTCTGCTGTCCGTAGATGATGTTGTCCTGTTGGCTTCATGAAACCAGGACCTAAAACATGCACTGGGGCGGTTTGCAGCCGAGTGTGAAGCGGCTGGGATGAAGATCAAGTTCTCTAAATCTAAGGCCATGATTCTTGACCAGAAAAAGATTCTTGACCAGAAAAAGGTGGCACTCTCTTCAGGTAATGGAGAGTCCCTGCCTCAAGTGGAGGAGTTCAAGTATCTCAGGGTCTTGTTCACGAGTGAGTGGAGGATGGAGCGTGAGATTGACAAGTGGATCGTTGCAGTGTCTGCAGTGATGCGGTCGCTGTATTGAACCATGGTGAAGAAGTCGAAAAGCAAAGCTCTCGATTTACCATCAGTCTACATTCCTACCCTCACCTACTGGCTGCATGAGCTTTGCTGTTGTAATGATCCGTAAAGAATCAATATGCAGAATACAAATGCTCAAAATGAATGAATGTGTATATACATGTGTATGTATATATAACATATATACTATAATATGTGTATGTGGGTATGTGTGTTTATTTAGATGCTGTATATATGTATTATATATGTATATGTATATGTGTGTGTATGTCGATGCCCATCAATAGGGAGTTTAAGGGTGGGAGGTTTAAAAGGCAGAAAAATGCAATGCTAACTGGAATATGTATAACTACAAATAATAATACTTGAACACAAATTTGATCATTCCTATCAAATTTGATAGGAGGAGCTTAATCATTGCCCTTGTGACACAACCCTGGATAAGTGGAAGAAGATGGATGGATGGGTGGAGCAAGAAACATTTTCTTCAAATATATAAGAAAAAAATCAGGTACATGGCCTTTAAATCACATGAAACATTTCTTAAATAGTAAATAAATCATCAACATAAAGCATGAATTTATTAGGACATTGCCATCCCCGTGACATTTTTACCTAACTTAAAGCAACAATTCCAATTTGAAGAAACTCAACTGTGTTACATTTAATAAACTTTAAAGCCAAAGAAAAGAAAAGAAAAATGTGCTCACTTCCTTTGTTATGTGTAAGTAAACAAATTTAATATTCAAATTTACATTCTGCAAAAAGAATATTCCAAACGGGCAATGTCCCTGGTTCTTTTCATTTATGCATGTAAAAAGTATGTTTCATTAGAACAGATATGTGGACACGATTTCACAGATTTTCAGAATTCAGACTTAAATTTATCATCAAATCAGCCTGATGTAAGAGAAGGAAACACGGCGAGATTCAATTTTTTTAAATGAAAAATGCAATGTCACTCAAGCATGAACCATTTAAGCCTTTAACATGCTCTTATCAAATCTTACGTCGTAATGTTTAAATTTGCATCATTATAAATAGTCGTAAATAGGATTTAAGAAGGAAAACTCAGGAGTTCTGCAAGATTACAAAGTGTCATGGCAGATTTGCTATTGCTGTTTGACTGTGGCAGTGCTGTTATAGAGGTTAAAAAAGACTGAGAAAAGAAAAGAACAAGAAGAACGAATGAAAAACCGACAATTAAATGACCTGAATTCAAAACTGTAAGGTTACTTTGAATAGTTCTGACAAAATATATTTTCAATTAAAGGGACTGTATGTAAGATTTGGATTTAATAACACACAAATATTGGTTTACTGACTATATACAAAATTATATATGTCTTTTATCTATGAGTTAAGGCACTGGCCGGCCAGGTTAGGTTATGAGTACCTTTTTTAAAAGTAAGAGCAGGGTACATACAGTTCCTTTAAATTATCTTGGATTTTATTTATTTTTTTCTCTCTTTGGTAGAAAATAATATCAGTCTGTATGAAATTAGCCATTTTCAAGGAATCTCCCCTATGAGCCATCTCAGATTTGGAAAATTCTAAAAATTTCTAAAATCGCCAAATGAAAGAATCAAAATCATGTTTGAGAGACCATAACTTCATAAAAATAGAGCTAGGAAGAGCTGTGGGCCACCAAAATCTCAAATTTTGTTGCCTTTTTTTTTTTTTTTTTAATTTTTGAGGTCCAAGATCTATTTACTCCAAGCAGATATTTATAAACTAACAGTTGAACCTGAATATTTGAGAGAATAACCATTTCTGACACAAATCTCACTTTTCTGAGCTTTCATGTGGAGTAGTAGAGTGTAGAGTCCCAAATATAGTCACAGACAAAATGTGATCTTTTTGGCCCCTTCTTTGGACGCTCGGTTCCCCATGCGGGCACTTTTTTACCAGAGGAACTTTGGCATGTTCTTATTAGTTTAAAGTAATAAAAACTTCTACTATTAACTTCCTTCATTTCAAGCGGAAAAGCTCTCACAGGTCATTTTTGGTGGAGCTTAGGTACTTTTCCAGGTTCATATACCTTTAATAGACTTAAACTACTTTGCTTGTTATAAGGGGAGACAATTGGAGATTATTTGTAGTACATTGTTTGTGATGGATTTGGTGGCACAGTAAAGCGCTTGGCTGCAAGGACCAGTCTGACAACTGACAGCAATCAAATATTCAGAATCTAGGACCAAGACTCTACAATAAAACAAATTTTCAGCTTCCTAGATCTATTTTTTATGAAGTTATGGTCTCTGAAACATTCTCGAGATGTGTGAAGAATCCCTCAGTTGTCCAGGTAGAATCCATGAGGAGAAAATTCAGTTTGTTTCTTCAGAACTGAAGAAGCAGCTTGGATGAGCTGCGAAACATCTTCAACCAAACTAACTTTTGTCCAGTCGACAAACTGAATTTTCTCCTCGTCTCTCAAACATGATTATAAATTAAGGCTTCCGAAAAAGTGAGCATGGCCCCAAAATTTCAACGGGCCACAACTCAGGAACTACTCAAGGGATTGAGCTAAAATTTGAGATTCTTTCATTTGGTGATTTTTGAAATTTTTTGCATTTTCTTCAGCCAAATCTGAGATAGCTCATAGGAAAGGACAGCTGATTTCATATGGACTGACCCAGTAAATACTCATAAATTGTCAACTTTATTCAAAATACTTTAATGTTCTGAATTCAGATTGGTTTAACCCACATTTACAATTTGAAACAGTTGAACTGTGGAATGAGACAGCCCCAAACAAAGATCAGAAAATCAGAAAGCAGGTCAGGAAAATCTTGTGACAAACTGCAGTATTGTGAAATGATGACGAGGCGGTTCTAACGTTAAATGCAGCCGTTACATCCTGGCTCTTTTGCATGTGTGCTCTGCCTGTCTCCCATTGGCTGATGCTACAGGGTTACACTTGGTTTATACAGGTCCATATTAATATCAGAAGAATAATACTGCTTCATAAAAATGTATCACAAAAGTAGCGTTGGACACAAACCATATGCAACTCAGGCGGGACACGAATACACTGTGCTTGTCGACTGTTAGCGAAGGAGGGGGGGCGAGGGGCGAAGAGGTGACCGTGGGGGGCGGAGTCACTTTCGGGGTGGGGGGAGGAGTCACTTTTCATTGTGGGGAGGAGTCTCTGAGGGGAAGCGTAGTCTCTGAGGAGGGGGGCGGAGCAAGGGGCAAGGGGAGAAGAGAAGGGCGGAGGTCAGAGGTTAAGCGCTAGGCGTAGAAGGTGTCCACTTTGACGGCCTGGCAGAACATGGTCATGGAGAAGACCAGGCCCAGGATCTGCAAACACACACAACAAGAGTTCAGGTCAGACATGGTTCAGTTTGGAGAGCCTAACCCTCTCGCAAGATGGATTTTCATGAGTTTGTGAATTTACAGTTATCACGAGAATTAATCTTGAGAGATTGAGTGGGCGGAGCTAAACATTCAAACTAAAATATATTCCTGACTTAAGGTCTTAAGGTTTGAAATCAGGTACAGACCCTTTAACCAAATGTTCTTTCCTCTAATACACAAAAAAATACCAAAAGAATGGGCCTCACTCATGAATCTTTTCTTGTTCACTTTAAAAGATGCTGAGAGAGCTTCGAGCTGGATTCACAAAGCGGTCTTAAGCTTGAAAATTCCTTCTTAAGTGACCCCCCATAAAAAAACCTCAAAACAAAACAAAAACCACAAAAACACCCACCTATGGACACCTTTGCGATCACTTACATCTAATTTACACAGAAAATGAACATGTATTTGGTTAGAAACGCCCTCTGAACTTCCAAATATGGCCAATGTGGGTTTAGTATTCTGACACATGAAAGCGCGATGGAGAGTGATCGAGGAGATCAGGTGGAGCTTCTACAGACTATGACTGCTTTACAGCTTCAGCGGTGATTTCAAATGTCCAAACTCACAGGAACACACTCAGAGAGAAAGATTTAAGTCATGAATGTTTTGAAACAAGCAAGCACTTTCGCTGTATTTATGCTGCTTTCTGCGATCGTGGACCTGCGGTAAATATCGAGGGAGGGGGCTGGGTAGATGTACATAAGAGTGTGTTCTGGTCATGGGGTTTTAGGGGGTGATGTTGGTGTTGAGTCCAGTGTGGATGACCAGGTGCAGGGCTGTGACAGAGGCCCATATGGAGGCACTGGGGCTGGGACAGACTGAGACTCACTGCAGCCTGGAGAAAATCTGTTACACCCAATAGAGAGACTCTAGAAAACAACTCATAAATGTTATTGGATCACAGAGTCATATGTTTATAGGAAATAATTTAAGAAAATATATCACTTACAATCATGGAGGAATTAGAATTTTTTGTTGGATTATCAAAGTAATAATATTCTAAAACTGTACAATTTTTGTTCTTATGAGTGCTCCTGATTGTCCATAGGATTTGTTCTTACTTCTTCTTACCTTCAGTTAAGAAAAAGTTTTGTGAAGGCCAAAAAAGTTCGTAAGAAGGCCTTAAGGAAAAATTTGTTTGTAAGAATGTTTCATGAACAAGGCCCAATGTTATTTTCTATGTTTTTAAGTCAGTCCACAGTACAGAGTAGGTCCACTACACCCTCCTCTGGTCCTAAACTTTTAGTCTTATTTAGACTTTTCCACTCCAGATCCCACACCCTCTGCTAGTGAAGTAAATAAAACTAAACACAACTGCAGGTCTGTTTATGAAGAAGAAACTTTATCTAAAAACTTGATGAGGTGGATTTTGCTCAGCATCTCATCTCATCTCCATGTTCCTTCACACCAGTGCACAGAGCTGTCACTGAGTCACAGCGACAGATACTCTGCTCACATCTCCTCGTGTCTGCTCACATCTCCTCGTGTCTGCTCACATCTCCTCGTGTCTGCTCACATCTCCTCGTGTCTGCTCACATCTCCTCGTGTCTGCTCACATCTCCTCGTGTCTGCTCACATCTCCACTCATCTCCACACAGGCTCCTGTCTATAACCGCACTCTCACCGCACTTACCACAAGGAGCTAGAGCTTCATTACAGAAACATTGGACATGATGGAGAAGTTGTTTTTGTTATAATGACGTGTCTCTAGATGATTATCCAAACAGAAAGCAGAATGATCCTCACATGAGTCTGTCCTTCAGATTGTATCAGTTCCTAAAACCAATGGTCTGTTATAAAAATTGAATTTGAATATTCCCATTAATGTAACGAGTCTAAAGATTAAAAGCTCTATACCAAATTTTTCCCCATCTATTTGAGCAAAATGTGTCTTGCCCCAGTGCAGATACACTATTGGTCAAAAGTTTTAGAACATCCAGATTTTTCCAGCTATTTATTGGAATTCAAGTCATGCAAGTCCAATGAAGAGCTTGAAATGGTACAAAGGTAAGAACTGAACAGCCAGAGGATAAAAAAAAAAAAAAAAGATAAAAGATACAAAACACAAGTCCAAGCTCTGCCAAAACTACCTAAAAATTTTTAAAAAGTGTGGTGTTCTAAAACTTTTGACCGGTAGTGAATATTGTAACACTTGCTTTTCTTTAACTTTTTTACTTTTTATCTTGGTATGATCATAAACAATACATTTCGTGCCCTCTTTATCATTAATATTAGGTTGTCCGACTAGAAACAACAAAAATCCTTACTTTTTTTTTTTGAGTTTATTTAAAAAAAAAATCTCATTACTGTTTATTTTGAACAATCATAAACGATAAACTTTTATACCTTCTTCATTACTATTATTAGTTTGTACGACCATAAATGAAAACAAAAATCCTTAAATTTTTCATTCTCATTACTGTTTATTTTATACGATCATAAACGATAAACTTTGTGCCTACGATAACATTATTATTAGTTTGTACGACCATAAACGAAAATATGTTTCTGCATGTATGTATATGTGTGTTATGCATATGTGTATAAACATTTATATTGAGTATATGTACTTTATATCTATGATGCATATATGTATGTATGTATGTATGTACATGGGTGTACATGTATATGTATGTATGTATGTGTGGATATATTTTTGTACATATGTGGGTATATTTTTGGAAATGACAGGTAAGCACTCCAAAGGTGATTATATATATACACATACATGTATATATATATATATATATATATATATATATATATATATATATATATATATATATATATATATATATATATATATATATATATATATATATATATAACAAAAAAAACAATAGGGGTAGGGCTCTATAAGTTTTTTAAACTTCATCCTACTGCTTTTGAGCACCAGAACCCAAATATGTTCATGTACATATCACTATTTTTGTTACTGTTTTGTTTCTGACTTAGAACCAGGAAGTGTACAGTTGCATGCTAGTTGTTGCATTAATGATAAAAAAAAATGCTGCTTTGGTCTCTGAAAGTTGCGAAAAGAGCTTATAAATGCAGTTATAACTGTTTTTTTCACGTTTTTAAGACAACAAAATCAGATACAGCGGCTCTAAGGTTTAAGATATTTTTTAAATGATCCCTACTTTGCATTTGACCCATCCTTCTTTGGAACTAGGACCACTCTTAACAGCAGTGGGTGCCGCCTTACCACGCCTGAGGACCCATCTGGAGCTAAACTTGGTCAGGACTATCAGGACTTTACCTCAAGACTATTTATCGACTGTATTACTTTCAGTACACAGAGCCTAATGTAATGCACCTTTATCCACTCCAACAAAGAGATGGCTCATTCTATCAAGGTTCTCATATAACATCTGGGAAAGCACTTTAATATTTCATAAAGTACTATTCACGGCCTGTTGACTCATTGGAAAGCACTGCAACCTTCAGAAAGGCATTTTACAAATCCATCACAAGCACCTTAATCTCTGCACTTTGGATCTTTCATTTGCCATGGTTGAATTAGTCATAAAAAGTTCAAAAATGTGAGCAGTTTTAGTTTAAATGTGAAAATTAAGAAGTAAGAAAACTATATACTAAACTAAATGTGCCCCTGACAGTAGCAGATAAGAGTAAGAGCCAGTGGCAAAAGAAAGTGCAGTTGAAATAATCTGTTAAAAGGCTCATATTATGCTATTCTCTGATTTATGTTATACTGTAATGTTGTTTCCTCACCACAAACAGACCTAGAGTTGGAGTTCATTCACAAATGTTTAAGACACATACCCTGCAGTTATTCTTTTAACCTTTACAAACTGTTCATTTCTGAAGCCTTCACAGTATGGTTTGGGTTTACTTTGACCCGGACCAAGAATTTCCTCGTAGTAAGTCTCTATACACTTTCAAGGAGCAGGATGAACATATTTTTCATATTTTCTTGTTCTTCTTTTGCACGTAAGAGACAACTGTGGTGTCCCGAGTGAAAGCAAACTTAGAAGAAAAAACCTCTCCGCCCCATGCCTCTTCAAAAACCAACAGGTGTCGAATTCTGGGATCCGGGGGAATCTCAAAACAGTGACCTCTTAAACTCTGTCGCCACTGTCCCATAAAAAAATACACACAAACATGGTCTGTACAGTTTCACAGTTTCAAGATTCCCTAAAATGATTCCCTGTTAGCGTCGCATTACATACGCCACGACCAAATAGCAGAGATTGGTTAAATAAAAAAAGTACCCACCTACCGTCGAGCGAACGAATCCTAATGCTGTGAGGTCAGACGGTTTCTACAAAGTGAAACTGGCTGATGAATCAGGCAAATTTTTACTACTCTTGAATGTAAAAATGGGTGAAATTTGACCTGACTAGTATGTAACATACACCTACACTAGAATCATTTGGATGATTTCAGCCCTAGAATTGTTGATCTCTACTGAACTAAAGGTAAAAAGGAGCTGTTAATTTGAAAACTGCCACTTCATGACAAGATGAAACGGAGCATTTTGAGCTTTGGGGATCTGGACAGACTAATAATAAAGGGTTACTCAAAGGGTTAACATGTGCCAATGAAATGAAACACAACACAACACAACACCAGGCATGTTTTTGAGAAGGGAACAACATTATAACCTGCCTTAAAGTCTGGGGTCAATTTTGTGTACTGTATTTTCCACACTATTAGGCACTTTGGATTATAAGGTCATTGAATGGTTTATTTTCAAACTTTTTTTCACAAATAAACCACACTGGACTTTATATGAAACACAACAGTTGGATGGGTCAGTGGGACTTTGTTTGTGGCGTTCACGGTGACTCTGGGCTTTGTTCAGTTGTGGCGTGTAGGGAGGGTGCTGTCTGGGACCAACGGATTGTCGGCGTGTTCGCAGTGACTCAGTTGTTCAGTTGTGTCTAGAAGTGGCACATTGCACTCGTTTTTTTGGTTCG